GATAGCGCAAGCAAATGCATATCCATGTGTACATACATATAAACATATCTACATATGTATGTACATACATACGTACATGCATATGTAAGGATTACCGGAGTGTTCGGCAGAACACACTTGCTAAACAAGTAGTATAAGCGGAGCAGTTGCAATAGAAATAATTTAAGAAACCAACTAAAATTTGTTTCTATTGTCTAACCACAAACTCAGCTCTTTTAGATTTTAAACTGTCGTTTTTGTCTCGCGTTGTATTGAATGAATATACATATGTACATACAGTGGCGCTCACATAAATAGCGCACTTATTTTTTACAATATTCACAATAGCTGTGTTTATTTGGGTTATACAGTTCAGTATCACGATCATTTCTCACGGAAACGGTCTGGATCATTCTTATTCGAGTTGGCAGCACTAATTTTATACTATAGCACGAGAAAGACGAAATTATAAAAATGAACTGAGTAAATGGGGAAAAGTACATTTACAGATCTATTCTGCGCTGGTAATAAAAGTTTTGTAACCGGTAAATTAAGTTCCTGTCAAATTTTAAACCCTTTTCGAATTCTGTGTACTCTTGTAAGCGGCGAATTTCATTACCATCTCATAAGCGGTAACAAAGTATTGGCCCGTGAAATATGCAATGCCAGAATTTCCACAATTCTTCATAGTTGAATTGCTGAATATTTTAACTGCATTACCAACGTTCCTAGAATCGCGGTGACAAGATCTGGTACCATTTTTTGGTAATAAAATTTTCCGGTTACAAAATCTTTGGTAACGTGCAGAACAGATCTGTTAAACGAAATAATATTCATCGCAGTGCCATATTATCAGTGACACAAACCAAAAAGAGCGGATCATAAATTGAACGAGATCACTATCAGGATCATATCGTTGTTGTTGCATTTGCGTACAAATTTTTTCCGGATCCCGATCATTGCCCACGAAAACACAAAAATATTTTGCGTGAGATTTCTTTTGTAGAGGGTGTGAGCGCCACTGTATGTATTTACATACATTCCTACATATGTACATTGTATGTATGTATGTATACAAAGCAGCGCCGTCGCTTGCAATTGTTCTGCGGGCCGACGAAACTGATTGCGTTTACACGCCAATGGAAAATTCTGCCAAACATCCGCGTGATGGAAATTCCATGTTGGCGCCAATACTTTTTTTCTATAGTGGTATGTATTCACCAAAGTGAGCAAGTGGCCTGACAGTCTGGCAAAACATCAGATCAGCTCAAGCAACTACTGTTGTCAACATTCGGTGCTTGAGCTCATCTGCTGTTTTGCCAGAGTGCCAGGCCACTAGCCAGGACATGCATTTTTGTAGTTTATGGTTAACTGGCAAAAATAACGGTACCATATTTTTCTGTCCGTAGTTGATTAGTATAAAAGGGGTAACATTTTCAGTACTTAGTTCAATCGTTTAAAGATCTCCAAGTGTTAATGTGAAAAGTATTTATTTGAAAGGCCTGATAGAATAAAAAAAAACCTACACCAAAAGTGCTGTACGGTGCATTTGAACATTTGTGCTGGCTGTAATTTGCATAAATTCATAAGACTTTTGTCAAAATTTTGAGCTTTTTATACTTAAGACATTAAAAATAATTCTCAAAAATTTAGTATTTAGGAATAATAACGTGCAAATTTAATATGGATAAGAATTACCTGTTGCAAAGTATCAAACTTAATACTTAATACAAAATTTATGAAAACTCAACAAATTTTCATCAAAATTTTGAACCTGAATCTTTAAAACATTTTTGGATATGCAGTTTAATAGCGCATACAATTTTAATGGAGTTTCAAGCGCGCAAAAAAGCGCAATTTATAATACTAAAATGGTATGGGCTATAATACTGCATAACTAAAAATTTTGTAAAGATTCAGCTTAAAAAGCGCGAAATTTTTATGTAAATTTTCTGATTTTTACTTAATTTTGTAAAGCTAGAAACTTTCGTTTATATAGTTCTAGTAAAGGATTGAATATATTTTTATAGAAAAATAATTAATAACTAGAAAAATATTGTGCATATTAAAAAAAAAATAAAAATCAACACGCGAACACCTGTTATCAAAATTCCAGGGTAACTTTAGACCACTTCAAACTTGCACCTTGCTGTCTTTAAATTAAATGGGCTACAAAACTGCTACTATTTTTATAAAAAATCTGATTTAAGACTTCAAAATTTTGACGAAAATTTAATGAACATTCATAAGTTTTATATTAATTTTGGAATATTTTTACGGACTCCTTTTTGTTGAAGTACAAACTATATTTTTATAAACCAATAAACTTAAAAATTGAAACTTTATTTGTGAACGGAAAGCCAGAGATTGGAAATTGGGGAAAAAATATTATTTACGATATTTGTGGTAACCAAGTGTACAAATGGATCCTCCCCAAAGGAAACGTGGTAGGCGCGCTGAAATCTGCGCCGATGAATACGTAGAGTCTGTGCTGAAATTTAAGGACAGGCTAATTGAGGGCCATAAAATTGTTCCTGCCTCGAACAGTGTTTGGCAAGACATAGCAAATTTGTTTAACAATAAAGTGAAAAGTGCATCTATTCATGCTTTGACTGTTAGTAATCGATACGGACTCCTTGATAAATTACTCGGTCGCAAAATATTCGAAACTGTTTCGAATGATGAATCTACGAACGAAATTTGTGACGATAGCAATCGCGATCTGGACACGACTTTGCCCAAGAAATTATTTTTTACGTTGACGCTTGGGAAAACAGAATTCAAAGAATTGCTCAGCGAAACGTCGTATTACATCACTTCGAATGGAAAAAAAAGAAAATTACGAAAATATACAATTTTGCAGCAAGAAAAATGGAGTGAAATTCTGGCTAAAAAAATGTATGATGAGTGCAGATTACAGCACGTATTTAATTTCAAAACCCATTACATTTACCGTGATGCGACCGGCGGATCTTGTAAAGGTAAGGTACAAAACACTGCAATTACACATTTTTAGAAACTTAGCACAATGATTAATATGTACAGTATATATAAAAAATGTTGCAACAGTAGTTTTTTACAATATTTGAAAGAAATTAGCAAACTCTTGTCTATTTTATAAAACTTAAATTTTGAGAGCACTCAAATGCCAAATAAAAGTAAAACAAAAAACAAATAAGTGAAAATATTCCAATTTCATTTTATTGTAAGTTTTAAAACATTTTTGTTATGTTAGCAAACTTCAAAAATCTTCAGGCTCCCAGCGGTTTTACTTTCAAATTTTTTTTACATGGTTTAAACTTTTTGTATAAACAAATTTGGCGTTTCTCAAAATTCCGGTTGATTTAAAATTTTTTTTTTTTAATGACGGTGTTGCGGATTTTGTATTACAAAAATTATATTTTGTATGCGTTATTATTAATGTTACTATAAATTTATCAAAAACAACGCAAATTCTGAGTAATTTCAAACTTGCGCTAATTATACAATAATTGAGTTGCCGGACGGTTTTCCGGGTCCTGTTCAGGTTAAAACGGTTTGCCTCGATGTCACGATCCAGCCTTAAAATGTTTCGGTTTTCAATCAAACTTCCTGGTTTTAAAACAAATAATAAAGTTTGTTTAATTGTTATTAATTTTTATTGTTGAAATTTTCCGCTAATTTGTATATGGCTCATTCCATCTCAAATCACCCAGGCCGGCGGAAAGTGAATTTAAGTTTGCGATAAAACTCACAGGGATTGTTCCTTGAACAATTTAAGGAGACACGTATTCTCTCTTTTTGCTCAGAAATGCGAATTTTTCGAATAATGAATTTTTTTCTTTTTGAGTACGAACGCTAATTTTTCCTCTCTTAATAGCAACTTTTGATGAAATCGTTTATAACTGCCGCAAAAAAGCAAGGATTTTAACGATTTTTTTTTAAATTGCAGATATTGATCTACTGAATCGATCTAGTGAA